AGTCAGAAAGAAAGAGCCTTGATCAAAATTAACGAAGCACTCTTGAGTCCAGGCACATTTTTATTGCCGCTCTATCACTTATTTATCCTTTCGTTGGACTACTTGCCGTGACTCTCATGGGAGATAAAACAATGACTCTTATTTTCTAGAAACCTTCCTGTGATACTTAGGGAGTGAAACGGACAGAGTCATTGAGGTTGTTCTGGCACCTATTCTCTCAAAGATGTAAATAGCAAGTTTCCAGCAGAATAAAATACTTGGTACATGCTTTGTCAACTTCAGAAACACCGATGACTGTAGCATAGCCCGTTCCCTTGTTCCCCACTACTAAAGCTAATTGCTGTTCATGTGAAATACCTGTTGATCCAAGCAAATGCAAATAGATTTTTTTAATGATAAATTGATGGTTTTCTGCACATTTTTTCTTTCACTGGGAAAAAAAGTCATTGGTGTTTGCAGAAACTGCATCATAGTGTATAAAAATATTAAGGTAGATATAGATCCACAAAAAGAAACAAACCTGAAATTTTGCATAAATTGTCGAAACTTGCCGGCTCTCTTGGCTAATGGAACTACAATGTTAATAAGCGTGTTGGCCATGTTGAGGTTCTCATTCTTCACTTTCATGATGGGACCAAATGGTCGGAATAAAACGACTCTTCTGAATGTGTGGGGTCTGTCTCCTTTGAAAGTCAGCTCATACAGCGTGCCTTTATCTTTTTCCGTTCGGTAGATACCTGGTAGGAGAATATGAAGGAAGGGAAGCATTAGCATGACACTGGATTCCCCAGGAAGAAGTTGCAATATTAGGTTGCTTTTGTAATTTAGACTTGGCAGCAAAGAAATGAGACATTTTCCTACAAAATAAATTAGCAAGTACTCTAGCTCTTCCATAGTTTGGAACCAGAACTCAAAATCTAATAAGGGACACACTCACATTTTAGGAAGGTGACTTTCCTATGTCTCATAAAAATCCACCTAGATGACAAGTCTCTGAGAATCACCATTTGCACATACAGTAGAACTTGTTAGATGCTTGCTCCTTATTTTTCAGGATGTTCCAAATGCACAAAGCACTACCAGGTTTTCCCCCTCTGGAGAGTTTACACTAGACACACATGAAAACTCCTGTACAGGAAGTGCCCAAGGTCCTGACAGACACCATCTTCTTCATTGTCAAACTGCAGAACCAGGGAGCGAGGAAGTGACTATGTTCAGCTCTTATTTTTGAGATGCTTTCTAGCACCATAGAAAGTTTATCCCTCTAGGGTGGCAACGTCCATTAAGTCTGCGAGGATGTTGTGGAAACCTGCCCTTTGCTTATGAGCAGCAGGAGATTGCTTGGAATGCCCACTGAAGCAATTTCACTCTGGCAAGCAAGTATGTCATCATGAAGATCCCACAGCAGGAGCGATTGCCCCCTTCGTCTTCTGTGACCATCCATGGTGCCTATGCCTGGCTGCATCGGAGGGCAGGGAACCAGCTGTGAATCTGAGACATCTCTGGTATGACTAAGCTTGTATGAAAGTAATGAACTTAAACAATGGAGGCCAATACATCCGCCTGGGTGTGGCAGGTAACAGGGTTTGTCTCAGGGACTCTTTTTATGAGGCTAGATCAGAAATTTATTTGAGCCACTTTAGGTCTAGGATAAACCTAAAACGCCCAATTTTCCTTGGGATAGGACGAATTATCAAGACTGATTATGGCTGGGGTTTTCAAAGTCTAAGGGAGCTGGAGTAAGTCCCATTTAAATGCAACCTTAGGCTTCTTGGAAAATCCCAGCTTACCATTTTCTGTCTTTCTGCCTTCCTGAGGTGAATTTTCCGTTGTTCCACCACGCATTGGGGCATCCAGCATCAAACTCATGAAGCTGAAGTGTAATTTTTGCTGAACCACATGGTGGTGCTGCTGAACTTATTCCTCACCTGATGTGTCTCAATAAGCGGATATATATGTTGCCAAAGCACCAGTCTAACAGCATCCGTATATCATATGGCAATTTCCCAGTGCTCAGGGATGTCTTTGTTAGGTTCCTGCAGAAAAGTGAATTGTTATATACTTAATGGGTGACATTCAGCCTGTGCCAAGGGGCCAGCAGAAAGCCAATGCGCCACTCAACGGCCTTTCGGTGGTCCACAAGCCTTAAAATTCATCCATTAAGGAGAACACCTTCACCCCACACTGGGTGTTTGGACAAATCACTTCCTCCTGGCCAGGTTCACTGGCGTTTTAATTATTCTCTTGACTCAGACCCACTCCTTAAACTCAGTGTGAAAGCTGCATCACATATCCCACAATTATAACCCATAGAAGAGTATAACTGGATCTCTCTGTCTCTCTCACAGGGACTCCAGGGGCCAGCAGAATGCAGTTCAATGGAGGTCTACAAGAAATCAAGGAAAAGAGGTTTCTGAGCACTCTGTTTTCTGTCTCCTCGCCAGCATCTGATCCATAACAAACAGTAGTTTTGCCTCTCACCTCCATGACTGTTTAGTTTCCTTGATATCCTCTTGTGAAAGACTTAAAAAAAAAAAACTGTGACAAACCACCCCTAATAAATGATGGTAACTGCTTGTCCTTTAACTCTGATTTGATGGACACCTTCAGAGCATTCTAACAGATGTGTGAGGCATGATATTCTGTGGCAGGAGCTGTGCTAGGTTAGCCCCTCGTTATAATCATTTAAACTAGTTTACTGGATAAAAAAGAATAACTTATTGGCCTTAGATCACCCCAGATCCTTATGAGAAATAAAGAGTTTCAGCATTTCTTCCCATCCAAGACAGTAGCTGATTTCAATGAGAAATAGCACGTTTTGTTAACGGCTCAGCCACTTCATGAAGTTAATCATTTCAAGGTGTGCTTTTGGTCTATAAAATCTTGTTAAGCTTGAATGCTGGATATCCGGGGAAAAAACTGCCTCTCTTCTCTCTCAGTGCTTTGGCTGACCAATTGAGATAATCTGAATGGCTTGAGTTTATAGTTTTTGGATATATATATGGCTGGGGGTGGGATACAGGTGGAATCAATGGAGGTTCTGTGGCTCTGGAATTTCCTTCCTCCTCTATCCTGGTGGAAAGTTTGATGATGAATTCAGTATGCTGCAAGGTGCATCTATTTATTTAGGCTTTTTCTGAACGGGTGGCTTGAGAGAGAAAGCTTTCACTGGGAATCAGAATGGAGGCGGTTTTGAGTGTCTGTTTTTGTTTAAATTAAAGATTACATCAAAAAGTTTGGTTTTAAATTTTGTTTGTGCATCTGGCGAGATACCGAAAACGCACTGCATACACTTGAAAAATAAAGAGATATTTCTAATATCAAAGAAGACCTACATTAGATCATTTAATACAATTTAGCCATCTAAAATTTTCCATTAGGTCTTTGGCTGGAGTACAAAAGTCTGCAAACAGGAACTATCCGGCTATTTCCTTCCCCTGAGTAAGAAGTTCGCTAATATGGCAAGAAGGGTACTTTATCAGGTAACTAGACGCCGATTTCCACATCTCATTGCCCTTGTTTATCACTTGTATTACAATGGAGCCTATAGGCCTCAATGGAGACCACAGCCCCCAAATGTTTAGGCATTTATAGTATAGCCCCTACCCGCAGCAAAAATGATACACAAGAGTAGTTCTGTTGATGTCAATGGCACCGATCACAGTGCGTTACATTAAGCCCATCATGCCGGATTAGGGCCTAAACAGAGTATTCTGGAGGGAATCCTGCACCAAAACATTACAAATTGTGCACAATATTTTTTAAATTCTGCGAACGTTGTCAGTGAATAACTGTGGCTCTAGCATGGCTGTAGGGAACAGAGGCCACTGGCTGCATTGAGGGAGGAAACCATTCTGACGCTCCCCTCCCCCCCACATCCCTTTCCCAGTACAGGGACCCAGCAGCGAGGCTACACCTGACTCTGGCTCAGTGCAAGGGCCGGGCCCTGCCCCTTTGTGCCAAGTGCACTGTAGGCAGGCTCAGCACAGCAGAATCCCAGTGTGAAGGGGCTTAGAGAGGGGGGAGCCAGGTGTGTGGGGAGAGGTTTCTGTGTGGGTGTGGGCGGATCAGTGAGAGATCTGGACGCACAGGGACTCATGGGGGGGGGAGGGGGGTTCTGGATGAAGGGGCAAAGGGAACCTGCAGGGGCTCCAGGTGCAGCTGGTGGAAGCTCAGTGGGGTAGGGACTTTGGGGGCCAGAAGGAGGGGTCTAGCCATAGCGGGTTAGAGTTTGTCAAGGTGAGGGTTAGATGAGCCTACTTTTGGGGGAGCCCCAGCTGCTGCTGAGGGGATGCTGTATGCCGGGCTTCCACCTCCTCGCACAATTGCCCTATCCCCTTTCCTTCTCCATGCCCTTCCCATGCTATCCCTTCCCCGCACTCCCTTCCTTGATGTCTCCTGCACCCCACCATGGGCACACTGTGCCATAGAAAAAAGGAAGGCTCACAGCACACAGAAGGGGAGAAGAACTGGCACTAGGGCCCAGGGTCAGAGGAGCCCAAGATGCAGCCTCCTTCAGCTGGGCAGCTCTGTGCTTCTAAGAAAGGGGGGACAGCAATACAAAACCCTATGAGCCCCCCGTGCCTCACCTTTGTTGGGGGGCAACCCTCCCAAAACTGCATACATGCTTATCTCCCCCCACGCAGCTCCCCCGCCTTTTCTGCCGGGAAGCACAGGAATTCTGCAATGGGGAAGCCTTTTCAAAGGGGGCAGTGCTGCAGAATCCCCCAGGAGTAAAAGACAAAGGAAATATTATTCCCACTTAATCTCTTTGTGACTCAGTGTCACAGCTATCAAGTAAATTGCCCAGGTTCACACAGTGGGAGGGTTGGGAGCTGAACCGACCTCTCCTGAGTCACAATCTAGTGAGGTAACCACAAGAACATCTTTTTGCTTCAGTACCAAGAATCCTTGAATTCCCAGAAGATTTCCCTCATTGCCATCGCCATGTCTAAAACCATCAAAAGCCCTTTTAGCAAGTTACGTGACTCAAAAGCGTACATCAGGTGGGTTTGAATTTGTTGTAAACAAGCTGTGCCTGCACACAAGTCTTGCTACAAAAATTGCTTTAAGTTTCCTCAAGAAAGCAATAAGTTTTGTAAAACACAGGCAGTAGCTATGGTATCAGAACAGGAGAAACCATTTTTTGCTGCTGTCAATAGGTTAACTGGTTTCAGAACGTCCACTGGTTTCCAAAGCAGCGTGTTTGAGATTTGCCAAGATGCCTGGAGTTATCTGCCAAAGCAAATTAGTCCCAGGTTTTTCAAGACAGAGGATGTGCCACTTGGTTAAACATCCAGGCTCAGGGTGGAATCCTAAAAGCCTGATTTGGATTGGACAAACAGTTGCTTGGGGTGGAGGGAGAGGCACAGTGAAGGGAGAAAAACTGGAATCTAATGGGAAACAGATGGGAAGACTAAAACCAAGCAGGAACAGTGGGTTGTGAGAAGCTAGGACAATGGAGAAAAATATCAGCATTTATGGGATCTAACTGTGCACACACAGCGTAGAAGTAGAAAGGACCTGCACACTGCACTGCAGCTCAGATAAACTTGGTTTTGTTCCAATATTCAATGCAGTCAGTGTGCTGCCTTCCCAGGCTAACCCCAATACAATCACGGAGCCCTAACAAAGTGCAAGAAAATTATTCTCCCAGTTCAGCAAAGCACTTAAAAATCAGCTTCAGTCCTACAGATATCGATGGAAACCTGCCTAGCTTTACCTTTCTCTAGACCTA